CCACCCACTCAAGAGCTTTTCACATCATATACGTATTGACCCCAAGTTATATAAGCAATCTACAAAATTTTAATTTTCATTATTTTGTGAGGATAACTAAAACAAGTATCTTCATGTGGCTAAGAACCTAGGATACAGTCATACATAATTCAAGTCTGTTTGTAAGCACAGTAACACATTACCTATGTAAGCTACCCAAGATAATCCATGAGAAATGAAAAATGGCAGTTTTAACATAGAGCTGATCCCACTCAAAAGACCATGATGCTCTTTATTTCCCAATGTACCAACTTTCAGTAAACTGAGGGATGTGGTAGATCCTTCCAAGGCAGTGATAGCATTCTCAAGTTAATAATTTGCTCAATACAGTATTATGAGCAATTTGAAAATTATAAAATAGATCACTCTAATTCCAGTATGTATTTTATTAGTTCTGTTGCTTAATTTCTTTAAAAAATTCTATTACTGAAAAAAAAAACATAAAGAATTCCATTTAATGTTTCTGAAACTTAAAAACAAAATTTTAGCAACAAAATCAAGTTTTTGTGAGTCTGCCTCATAGCCTAATGCACCTCATCCGAAAACATCTCCAATAAAACTTTAGATTTTTTAAAATTTTTACATTTATTTACTTTTTATGTGTGCATATATATGCATGTGGGCACATACATGCCATGGCACATGTGTAGAGGCCAGAGGACAATTCTGTGTAGTTCTCTCCTTCCACCTTTACATGGTTGGTGGGAATGGGACTCGGGTCATCAGGCTTGGTAACAAGGACCTTTAGCTACCAAGTCACCTCACCAGCCCCAAACTATCATCATCTTGTGTCTACTCTCTCCTTAGAATGTCAAGTCTTATCTCTGGAAACCTTGAAATATCTCTTTGAAATGTCAAAACCTGTATAAATGCACAAGCACTATCTAGAATTTGAAGCTAAGTGTTGCCTGTTTATTCACATTGAAAGGCACAGATCTAGAACTGTGTTGTCCAATAAAGTTACTACTAGGCACACATGGCTACTCGAATTTAAATTAAATGAGTCTAAACACTGAGTTAGTCAGTCACACTAGCCAGATGTATAGCTGTGGCTAACAGAACTCCATTCCAGAAAGCTCCACTGACACGCTCCTCTGTAATTTCTTTGAAGTGAGTTTTGAGAAAACTGCTATGACTTCACCAAACCTAAGCTGGTGACTTTCATATCATTCTGAGGTCCCCTGCTCCTCCCCCACCACATTAACCTCATGTAAGGTCTTCAGTAACCTACCTGACATTTTCAACTCTCGTTTGTCAGCTGGGAGATGGGAATTGCTCACAAATAACTATGTCAGTGGCAAGAAAATCAATAAAGCATAATATAATCAAGAATGGAATTGATTTTTAAAGTTGGGTTAAGACTGAATTTGAGAAAAGCAGAAACAGGTACTGAGAAACAGCAGTGTATATTAATCCAAAGCTAATGGCACCTCTACTCTACCCACCCATCCTAGGATAACTTAAAACAACTCTACAAAGATCTTCAAAGGAATCTTTCCCACTATACTTAAAAATATTCAGTATCAATAACCACATCTTTGATTTAGAAACTATACAAAGATTACAGCTCACAGTTGGACACACAAACTTCAATTTAGTCTGTTTCAAAGCTTACTTTGTTGGCTACATCTCTAATTCTAAGACAAATTTTTTAAAACTAAAAACAAACAAAACCCTAATAAACAATGTGGTTTAGTCAGGATTCTAACTACTCAGCTATACAGGAAAACATTCTCAGATTTCTGTTAATTACTTTGCATCTCCCAGTTTTCTTTATATAGTACTATCACTTAAAACAACGTTAATTCAGCTAATTATGCCACAAATGTGTTTTCTACTTCACGGAAATACTTAATGCTGCTGTTACTCCAAAAATGAGTGTAATTTGAAAACTGCAATATCCACATTATGGCTACTTAACTAAAACAAAATCAGATAAAAACTTTCACAAAGGCATCATAAATTTCACAAAGAAAGTCAGAAAACAATGAAAATGAAAGGCACTTCCAAAATCACATGTTATTAATTTATTAAATAAATGTTTATTAGCACTATAAACTTCTAGAATGAGATGAATAGTAAATCAAACATCAAGCTAAGAGTCTATCTACTATGTGCTAGGCTTTGGACTACGCATATAAAACAAAAACAAAAACCAGTCCTTGCCCTCAAGGAGCTCACAGTCTAGCTGAAGCAGACAGTCACAAATACAATGGCAAAGCACAGGGAACATCATGGAAGAGGGAACAGGTTCTGCCTGGGGAACGCAGGGCAGGCTTCCCAGAGATGGAGACAATGGAGCTGGGCCTTGGATGAGGAGTTCGTCAGATGGAAGGGGAATGGGAAGCACATTCCAAGCAGAGGAAACAGCAAGAAGCAAGCAGATCCTGAAAGCACAGGGCATGCTGCAGGGTGATGAGTGGTCCAGCGCAGCTAGAGCAGAAGAAAGGTGCACACAAACTAGAGACAGATTAGTGCTTGGTGGAAATGAACCATAACTGTCAGGAAGTGAGGTTTCAAATGACATTAAATACAGCTGAACTGTGTGCTTCTAGGACAGTGTTCTCCTCGTTCTGTAAATATTTAAATCCTTCTGCAGGTACCCCGCACCAGTGTTAAGTTTTTAAAAGAAGCAGTCTTAGAAAATAAATCTTTACTGCTGAGTAAAAGACCATCATGTAAACTTTCAAGGTATGAGTATTAGTACTATGATTGTTTCAATATAATACAAAATTTTCCAGTTTGGATCACATTAAACAACATTAGAATATCTATCTATTAAAGGATCAGTGAAATTTTTCCCTGGAATTGGTGGGGCCTACTGCTGTTTTAGGAGGTAGCATTTTACAAATCTATAAATTCACTTTATTGCCAATAATCAGCATAAATGTTTTATATACTCTGAACCCAGATATAGTAAGTTATATCTTCAAAAATTAATTTTAATTTTATGTAGGGTTTGAAATGCATTTTACCACATTTGACTGGTTGTATTACTTCTTCATTTTGGATTTAAACATTTTTGTTCTTTTTTTACACCGTAGTCATTTACTTTATTCCTTAGCTACTTATTTTACCCGCCAGCCCAACTGCCCTAGTTCCCTACTTGCTTCCAGTCAGGATGGAATCATCTACTGAGAGTTGCTTCAATGATGGTTTGTGAAAATTGTTATCAATTCTTATGTGTTTGGAATCATTTATTTTATACTTGAAGGACAATTTGGCTGAGTATAGACCACTTAGTGTAGGTTTTTTTCCTTATGATCATTTTAAAGCATTATTCCATAGACTGAAGGCATTAATACAGGGAGTAAGTTTTCAGAGCCAACCTGAATTTCTTCTGGATAATTTTTGTTAAAATATGTACTTTCTGTGGTGTTCACTATTCTTTCTACAACTAGAATTATGCCTGAAACAGAGTACATGGGCAATAAATATTTCCTGGCTAGAAACAAAAAAGAAAATAAATCTTAATGGGTGTGTGTGTGTGTGTGTGTGTGTGTGTGTGTGTGTGTGTGTGTGTTACTTGAGAAAAGAAAAAAGATCAGGAGGAAAAGCTTGAGCTCAAGTTTCCCATAGTGGACACCACGCCAACCAAGGTAGCTTAGTGCTATGGCTGTCACTTAAGGAAAGAAAGTGCAGTGCAGAAAAGGAAGGAGTTAACATAGCTAATACTCTGCTAGATCTTTCTTTATATAAAGTCCCATTTCTTACTTCTCACAATAATGCTATGGGAGAATTTTTATTACCTTGATTCTTTAAGTGGGCCTTAGGCCTTCCGAGGCTAAAATAATTGCCTATGACTGCGTCACCTAATACACAGCAGATGCCAGTTCACCAAACCTATGTCTGTCTGAGTCCAAAGCCAGACTCTACAACCATGAGACTTCATGGTTCCTAAATGAAAACTGCAAGCCCAAGGGTCGGGTAGGGTTATTATCAGTCCAATCCTAATAAAGTTCTCTACTTTTCTCTCTATTTTCACAGCACTGGTGTGAGAAACTGGTGATGGCAACACATAAACATAGTTTCTTAAAATCTACAGGAATGGGAACAGTTGTAATGACTGATGATGAAGTTATTAAAGAAGTTCACTGAGGCATCTGTAACGGTGACTTCAAGCTCAACTCCCGACTCAACACTAAGGGTGGTTATCTACTTAACAATACCAGGCCCATGCAAGTCAGTGAACTATTTGTAAGTTGTACATGTTTAATCATCCTTAAGAGGAAAAGATTTCTTTGTACAGATACTAAGAGCATTAATAAAATTAAATTAGCATAATTCAAATGTGACTCATTCATAGTCTTATGGAATAAACTACCTAACAAGTAGCTCAAAGAAATTAAAACCTAGCAAAAAAAATCTCTACTCAGTTATCAGGATAAGAAAACTATGCCTATTGCATCATTAATGTGATTAAAGTCAAAAGTCAAACCGCCCCTCCTCAAATTCTCAACTCAAAAATTACTATGGAATTATAATGATACAAAAATGTGATAATGTTGGCTCTTTAGAAAACAAACTATTTTAAGGAAAAAAAGTAAACAAATGGATCCAAAAGTGTGATGTACACTGGCCTAGAGACACCCTGAAATGTTTTCTACACATGGTTTACTTATGCTTTCACTGGGTGAGTATTTCCAAATACCAGAAAAAAAAAGTCAGATTTGTAAGCCTTTAAAAAGCTTTGGCCGGGCGTGGTGGTGCATGCCTTTAATCCCAGCACTTGGGAGGCAGAGGCAGGCAGATCTTTGTGAGTTCGAGGCCAGCCTGGTCTACATAGTGAGTTCCAGGACTGCTGGGGCTACAAGGAGCCCCCGTCTCAAAAAAAAAAAAAAAAGCTTTGTAGTAGGGAAAGACATTCAGACACCAAAATGTCAATGACAAAATCATGACATAAAATACTTTCTGGAGAGCTTTTGAAATAGCATATGCATGCTGTAAGGACATTAACCAACCTTATTTTGATTGAGAGGATCATTCCGCAGTCTCTGCTTGTTCTTCTGTAACTTACTAGGCATCATCTTTCCAGTTCTGAAGTCAAAACTGCTGAGGTCAACAGCATTTCCCAGGTACCTTGCCAGCTGAGGTTTACTTCTGAACTTCTTACCACTTGGACTAGAAGAAAGATAAGGTAAATTGTACAAAAGGTAATATTAATACCCGAGATCGCACACATTCTGCTTCCAATTGTTACCACATTAGAATTATACATATATATATATATATGGAAATACTACAAGTTTTAAAGGAATTTCTTAGCTTTCTGCAACAGGAGATAATGTCTCATGGAGCACAGCACTCCCCTAGGTACCCCAACTGAACACAGATGTTCTACAGATTATCCTGCTATCGCTCCCTGAGTGCTGGAGATCTGAGCACAGCTTCACACCAGGACAGCATGCTCACTGCTATGATCTTCATCCTTACCAACTTTTTCCCAAACTGACTTTTGAAAACACTGGTTTACAAACAATGCCAACAGTAATCAAAAAAATCTTCAGAAAACTTATTTAAAGTCAATAACTCTTGTTAAAAACAAACATGCATAAGCATTTAGAATCTGCATAACTTGAGTGGGCTTACAATATCTGTAATAGAAAAAATTCTCAAATTTTGACATTTAAATGTTCTCTACTAAAACTACTGACTGAAATGAAAAAACAAAAGCAAACGTCTATGAACATATTTATACAACTCTGACATGTTTTATTAAACAAACTACCTAAAATAAGCCTATCAAAAGTAATTTACTTCTTGGCCAGATAGGGTGGATAAGGGTCTGTCCTGTAATCCCAGCATTTCCAAAGTGGATGCAAGAGGATAAGAAGTTCAAGGTCAGCTTCAATTACAAGGCTTCTTCCATACCAACCTGAGCTACAGCAGAAACCCTGTCTCACAAACACCAAATAAACAAATAAAAACTAATTTACCTTTTGTAAAAATAATAATAATACTGCCAAAGCTACAAAATTGTAAAACTGCCAAAACTGTATAAACTAGTCTTTCCTAAAAATATTTTTCTGTGTAGCATTAATCTATAAGAAAATTTTTATAGGAAAAAAATGTCCTTAAAGTCTTATGTAATAAATTTTCTGAGCCAAATGTGCTAGAACTGTCAATGTGACATGTCACCAGAAGAAACTTCTGAGAACTGTAGAAACCCTCTCCAAGAAGCCAGCATGCCAGGCTCAGAACTTGACCTTGCATTAACAGATCATAGCTAAATAAAAAATAATTCAGCAGATACACAAAAGAAAAAACACTGGAGAACAAACAATAAAATACCCCCCTGGAAGAACAATAATAACACTGCGTTGTCTAAGCCAATGCTGCCATTTGTAACATTCTATGGTATTCTGTCATCACAGATTTTGGGCAGCCAGAAGACCTATCAACATGCATTTTTCACAATCATAAGACTTAATCATTTTTGAAACAGAATTCAAGGTATACAGAATTAATCCAACAGATGAAGAGAATAATCAGAAACAGCTAGACCTCAACAGAATAAAATAGGCAGACAACAACCAGAATCCACCCAAAGAATACAGGATTACATACAGAGTACTTCAACTCCAATTCTAACCTAAATTCTCAAATATATTCAGTACCACAAAATAAAATGTCAAGTTACTTTCAATACCGTCCAAAACTTGATCATCACTGCCAACCACATGTTCTCCACCATCCCTCACTCCCTGCCTGCCCCTGAGCTGTTATTCCCCATCTTTGCCAGTGGCTACCAATCTTTCAGTGCCCACATTCCTCAGCCACACATCCAGTACCAATTTCAAATTCTAAATGTTCAGATTCTCCAACACTGATAAAGTATCTTCACCTCCTTAACATGATATCAAAAGCTTTCGATCTAATACATATCTTGTAGGCTCTTTTTTCTGCCACCCTTGGTACCCTGCATCCCTGTATTCCGAATTCAGTCATCAAAGTATTCCACATGCCTTTGCCTCTTGAGATAAGTCTTTCCAGATTGGATGAACCTGTCAGTGGGCTATTAAATCCTTCAAGTCCACCTACACTTCCCTTTCTGTAATTCTCCAATCCAAATTAAAAATAATTCTATCCCCTGCACTTTATGTCATTACAATTCCTAGATATTTCCTTGATGAGTCCAACAACCAAAAATTATAAGCTCATTTTTTTTCTCTAAAACTAGCAAACATCATATTCAGGTCAACTATTGAACAAGGTAACTTTCTGAGGGCAAGAAACCTTATCAATTAAGAAAGTAGTTTTCAAGCCAGGCGTGGGGGCACACACCTTTAGTCCCAGCACTCAGGAGGCAGAGGCAGATGGATATCTGTGAGTTCAAGGCCAGCCTGGTCTACATAGTGAGTTCCAAGACAGCTGGGGCTACAGAGAGACCCTGTCTCAAAAAGACGAAAAAAAAAAAAAAAAAAAAAAAAAAAAAAAAAAAGAATTCTATGCTTAGATTTTTAAAACATTGAACTGGGAAATATTTTCATGTTTAGTTAGTTTTACTACAGAGGTCTTACTAAACCACTCAAATTATTTTGAAAAGTTAGTAAAACTTACTGTGCTATTTATTCAGTCACTTATATGATGACAATTAATTTTAATTAAGCTAGAATAGTCATGTAGCTCTTGTAATCAAATACTTATGTGACCGATAAAAGAAGATTCTGATAAACTAGCTCAAAAACAAAAGGAGGAAGGAGGGGCGAGAAAGGGAGCTAGGAACTAGGGCTGGTAATGCAGGCCTGTAATTTCAGCTACTTGGTAGAAAGAACGCAAGTTCAGGACCTACTAGAGCTACAGAGAGACTTCAAGCCAAGCCAGGGCAGCTTAAGGAGCCACTGTCTCAAAAAAAATTTTTTTTTAAGTAAAAGAGTGCTGGTGATACAGCTCAGTGACAGAAAGCTTACCTAGCACCCATAAGGGCCCTACATTTAACATCCACTCGGTACACTAATTTAGATTTAAAAAAAATAAATAAATAAAAGGAAAGAAAATCTATCTCCAGAAAATAAAATGACAATTTTTAATCTGATTTCTGCCTAAAGATACCTTTAGTGCAATAATAAGTTGAATTCATGAGTGGACCTGGCTTCAATTGACTAATTTTTAGAAATGAATAGGCATAAGTACCACTGTGCTTAGCATGTGGTGAGACAAACAGAAAGCCATTTTGGAGAGAACTGACAAATTTCACAAACTGAACCTTATGTGTTGAAAGTCATCTGAAAACCTGTCACAGCCTCACTGTTAACACCTCTACGAACAAAACTCGTTAGAGAGGATACATTTTTAGACACCTCTTCTCTCAAACCCCAAGGAAATGAAAATAACTTAGGACTCAATTCTGGCTTCACTGGGGACATAACCCAAATGTACAGTGCTGATCGAGCATGCACAAGGTCCTGGGTTCAGGTCCTAGCATGGGAAGGGGCGACTGTGGTTCCATTACTTATGGTCTAGATTAGCATAGCCTTAAATTCTTCCATGTTTACTGATTTTAAAAACAAATGTAAGGTATTAATCATAATTTTTAAAGCCTCACATATTCCACTAATAAACTACATAAGCAATAATCAATAAAGGAAAAAATATAGAAGTTAAATTTTAACATATTAAAACTTAACTATTAGCATATCGAAAAGAAACCTGGAATGCCAACTGGTACCTAGAAATTCTGATTCTTTCTAACTCAGCCTCCTGACAGACACTGGATCTGGTATATACTTGTCATGCGTCATGCGTAATGCAGAAAACAGCAGAAGCTGTGGTTGTTTTTGTAACTGCCCTAACTTGTGTGCATTCTTTAAAAGTAAACCTGCCTGCCCCAGGGAATTTCAAGACCAGAGACCTTTGAAGGCAAGCAATGAGAGGGGCCAAGGCCCAAGGGAATAGATAAACAGGCAATCTAATCAGAAGATACAGACCACCTGCACAGTAACACCTGACCAAGTAAGTGTCCAGCTGAGTATATAATCTCTGGTCTTACCCTAAGTTCCTGTCTGCCCTCTAAGATGGCTGCTATGTAGTCTCAACTCAGAAATACCAGAACTTAAAACACGACTAAGCTTTTATTCTAGAATATCAAGGTCTTACTCTAGAAGTATCAGTTTGTTGTAGGGAATTATTTTGTGCTTTTTAACTCTAATAGATTGGTGAATGGTATTACTCATTTTCAGTTTGCTCTGACCAAAGTGATTACTGCTGATCCCAGCAATGAAATACTATTTCATTTTCAGCCACACAAAAAATTCCCTGTCAACTGCCCCCAGACATGCCATTTGTGAACCAACCTGTGATTGCACTTTTAATTCTTGAATACTATCAAAAAGAAATTTTAAAGAAATCTAAAAAAAAAAAAACCACTTTAGTTGAAATACTAGAATACTTAAGACACATTCACCTTAACTCAGAGCTTTTCCCAATTTTGTCCCAATTTGCAGGTGTGAACCCACCTGCAATCATTATAACCTGAGCTAGGCAGCTATGTATGCTGTGACATAAAAAAAAAATTCAGAAGACCTCAGAGCACATGAGAAACTATACCCTGATGCCACCCAACACCCGGGCACATTTCATCATGTTATATTGATAACATGAATAAACATAATTTGATCAAGCACAAACTTAGCTTCCAGCCAGTTTCTAACAAGATGAACTGTGGAGGATGGTAGTCATTACAATGGGATGAGATGAAGTGGCCTGTGAGTGACAGGGGCATCACAGATGACAGATGGCTAGAACATGTTCAGAGCTACACCATTTCCCATTGCTATCAGGAAGAACTTTGTGGGAAATTAAGGAAAAATCAATTCTATAAGCTTAAACACTGGGAAGGCTTGAGACTAACTAAAACATCAATATTCTAAGTTCTTTCTTTACCCATTTAAGTGTTAAAGCTTGACTTGTTACTCTTTAACTTTAACTCCTCCAAGAAATCAATAATAGCTGAAGCAAAATGTGAAACTAGAATTGTCCTTCTGTACCTAAATGCAAACCCTATAATCAGAAAACTGCCAAATCAATTTTCAAAATGTATAGCCCTGCTCCAAAACACATACAGCACTCATTCAAGAGAATGTTGCCAGCTAGCTCCTCCATTCATCTGCTCTAATGGGGAC